ATCCTCCATAACGGCAGAGTTTCAGAGAGATCACCGATGTGTCCCGGTCCGATTTTGTCATGGTTTGTGCTTCGTCTCACCGTGCCTCAGGTTGGCGCCGCGTTTGGCATCGCTGTCCCCTCCAGGATGTCAAAAAACAGCCCAGGATGAAGAGCTGGTCTTGGGCGGAGTTACCCAGGAACCAGGGTTTGTTTCCCCCTGTAGTCGATTACACTCAAGAGTGACCCTTTTCCGGAGTGACCTTTGGTGCTGGCCCATTGGGGTCTCCCGATCGCCGAACGCGATGCGGTAGTAGCGTCTTGCGCGCTGGTGTTCGGTTCCCCCGTGGCCCACAGGAAGCCGCGCACCAAAGCTCACTCTCACCCAGGGCCACTCTTGCGTGTAGCCGACAGTGGAACAAGAGAAATCATGGCAACGATGCGCCCCAGCCATCCTCAAATTTCCGCGGTGTCGGGCCGCCGGATGCTCAAGGGTTCTAGGAGCGCATGTACCCTGAGTCGATCGCATCATGACCTCACTGGTCCAGGTTCCCTCCCCCGGGATCAGATGCGTCGCGAGAGATCACAAGTGCAGCCCTATCTCTTGTTGCATGCTTGCGAGCCAGCTCAATGCGCCAGGGCCCCAGGGCCCAGAACCGGGCGAGAACGCCAGGTGCGAGGAGAAGTGCAAAGCTTGGATGTCAAGGTCATTCCAAAGCTGGTGGCGCCCACGCGGGCGTGGCGCGAGGGGGGTGGCCTCCTGAGAGGGCGGGGGGCCTTCTTAGAAGGCACCAGAGGCTCTGAAGAAGATCTCTTGGAAGCTGGGCGGGCTTCTACGAAGCCCCCCTGCATTCTCAGGAGCCCCGCCACCTTTTTGGAAGGCCGCCCCCCTGCTAGACCCCAGGCGTCGTGTTCTCTCTTCACTGCGTGGACCCCTGGAGGCTCGAGGTCTCGACCCATTTCCCAGGACCCCAGTTTCTGACGGTCCTGGGGCCCGGCGACGGCCCAAAAGGGCAGAAAACATAGACATTGTTCGCCGCATTTTCTTCACGACCCGAGGGGACCTGGGCATTCCACGCCCCTACCCCCCTCGCGGCCCCCCCCTGTGGGCGCCGCCAACACAGGTCGGGAGCAGCTCCGGTTCCCTGGAAGTCGTGACCCATTCCCCGTGACCAGCTTTCCATCCCGAGCTGTTTCTCAGCGCTGGGTTCTTCCTGTCCTCCCCTGAGATCAGACAGAGCCACAACATCGAAACATCGTAAAACACCACGACCACAGAGCCGTGGGCCCCATCTTTCTGAGCCATTTCCCGAGCCGCATCGATATGATGTGAGGGTCCCTGGGCCCGAAAGGCAACGAAAACATTTGGTTCGAAAGAATTGAGACGCCAGGCTCGGGTCCCTCGCGCCAGAGGTCGGAGGCGGCTCGGGGTGCCCGCTGCAGCCCCACCAGCGGGTCGCCGACGAGTACGTCGCGGCGCTCGCCGGGCTGTCAGGGGCAACTTTCGGCGGAGGGGGTCGGCTCAGGGGGCAGCATCTCGGGCTCGGAGTTTTCTAGCGTTTTCGTCGGTTTTCGGCTGTGCTCCAGCTTCGGGATGCTCTCCAGCACCTGCGCCAAGCCGAGAGCGTTCTGAGGGTGCCCGGATCGTCCCGAACGGCTACTGGAGAGCCGAGTTTCATAATCCGAAAACCACAGGGGACGAGGATAGGCTCAGGCTCAGGGTGGGATGCACCGCCCTCCGATCGCCTATTCATCGCCGATGGGGCACCGATAGTCCACGCCGCCCAGAAGCGAGCGTGCGGATTCGCCATCGGGGGCCCATCGCCGGTCTGTCGGCGATGCATCGCCAATTGTTGGTCCCTTTCCCAGAAGGAGGAAGAGGAGCAGGAGGAGGAGGAGCGCCAGGCACGATACAGGCCTTGGCGATTTGAGCGCCTATTTCCAACGAAAGAACGAACGATATCTTTTTGTAATCCGCGACGTCGGGAATCAGATGACAAAATACATAAATATATCTTGATGTGCACTCGACTCAAAAAGAAACGTTCTTCCATTTCAGTCACATGGATCTTTTTGTAATCCACCACACATGGGATCCTTCTGTAACGCGTCAGTTCCTTTGACGGCGGAAAATCGATTTCGGATTACAGCAGAAATTCCTTTACGGCGGAAATCAACCGGATCCCCTTTCTTGCGGAATACGACAGGAATTATTGACATTTCGCGTATCCCCACCGGCGTCCGTATCCCGTTTGGCTCAAGCAGCTCTGGGTCAAGCGGCGGGCCGACAGGAGGCCATTGCCCTTACCGTATCTATCCCTCCCAGTTTCTTTCTTGATTTCTTTTCCACATTCACATTTCTGAGATGAGCGAGTGGCATTATGGGTGGGCTTTGGCCGAGTGACAGCAACAACGAGGTTGGCACAGTCATGGTTGGCATAGTCAGCACCGTTCCCGGATGATATTCAGCGAAGTTGGCACAGCCATGATTGGCATAGTCAGCAGGTTCGCGAAGGCGACAATGCCATCTCAGTCCGGGCAGCCCGCCGCGCGAGACAGCGCGCGGCTCGCCAGCGAGCAGGTCATGCAGCTTCTCCGACGGGCACACGGGGTGTTGCTTCGGCGGCCCCGCCCGCAGCCGACCTTGCCCCAGCTTGCGAGCCCGAGGTCGTCGCCTTTCTGTGCCAGCTGGGGCTCGGCATGTATGCGCCGATCTTGTCCGAGCACGGCTTCGAGCGCATGGCTGGAATTCGGCTTATGAGTAATCAACACATGAGGGAGGGATCCTGGGGCCCGAAAGGCCACGAGGACGCGGAAGTCCAGATCGGAGCCCTGGTCCCATTTGTCTGCGCCCTCTTTCGAGCCGCATCGATCTGTCAGGGCCCCTCCGGCCCAGAGCCGGGCGCAAACTTTGGACGCCCGAAATGGGTACGGAAAGAATGGGCACAATGTCCAACAACAGATGTTGTCCCAAACCAACAGCGGCCGCTGTTGGGCAGGCGGCCTTCTGTTTCAAATGGGCACAGGCCGCGGCGACACCGACAGCGACTCCCATTTCGGGCGTCCAAACGCGGGGCTCGAAGAAATCGAGGCGCCCAGACCAGGGCCCCCCTCGCGCCAGAGGTCGGGGGGGCGACTCGGGGTGCCCGCTGCAGTGCGTCGCGGCGCTCGCAGGGCTGTCAGGGGCAATGTCAGGCGGGGGGGATCGGCTCAGGGTGCGGGGAACGTCTCGGCTTCGAAGTTTTCTCGGGGCGTATCGTTCGAAGCGGAGGTCGGCCACAGAATTTATTTACCCAAACATCTTCATCTTCACCGAATCTACCAAGCATACGTCGGCTGTTAGTAGATCCAGAAGCTTTCCATGTACTATTCGCAGATCCAACGAAGATCATACGTTTGGGGTAAGCCCACTCAGTAGTCGATCTGCTATTCGAATCGTTGCCCCTCCGGCTCGGAGGAGGAGGGAAAGGAGGAGGAAAAGGAGGAGGAGGAGGAGCAGGAGCAGGAGCAGGAGCAGGAGCAGGAGAAGGAAGAGGAGGAGAATCAGGACAAGGAGAGGGAGGAGAAGGAGGAGGAGGAGAAGGAGGAGGAGGATAATCAGGAGAAGAAGAAGGAGGAGGAGGAGGAGGAGGAACAGGAGCAGGAGGAGGAGAAGGAGCAGGAGGAGGAGGAGGAGGAGGAGCAGGAGCAGGAGCAGGAGCAGGGCTAGGCTCAGGGGAGGGGGAACGTCTCGGGTTCGAAGTTCCTCTCGGGGCGAACCGTTGCCCCTCAGGCTGGGCGCCGCGGGCGCCCCGCTGGCGCCCGAAGCGTCGATGCTCGACGCCCCCCGCGCGGCCGCGGAGGCGTGCAGGCCTGCGGCGCCGGGCGCGGCGCCGCCGCCCGCCGCCGCCGAGGAGGAGCCCCCGACGTCGTGGAGCCCCCAGGGGTCCACCGTCCTCGGGGTCCGAAGGGTTCGGGGCTTTCGGCAGTCTTCGCTGCTTCTCGGCGGCTTTCCGGCCTCGGGACGCTCTCCAGCAGCTGCGCCTCGTGGAGGGCGTGGCGGGGGTGCCTGGATCGTCCCAGACGGCGGCCGGATAGCCAGGTGACGGCCCTGTTGACCACATGGCCGAGTCGGGGGCATCAGTAGGGGGGGGATAGGCATGAGGTCGGCGGCGAGCGAGGGGGGGAAGTGAGAAGGAGGAGGCCTTCTCAGACGGCGGCGGAGCTTCACGGAAGTCCTCCGGCCTTCTGAGCAGCTCTCGGTGTCTTCGGGGAAGGCTCAGAAAGGTCTCAGACGGCCCGCTCTTTCTCACTTCCCCCCAGGTTCGCCGCAGAGAGGAGGAGCACGAGGGGAAGACGCCCACAACCGCCCAGCGCGGGGGTTCCACCAGCGGGGAGGCGGAGGAGGAGCCCAAAGGCCCCGTGGTGAGGCTGAGGAGCGCCCGCCGTGGCATCCCCCGCGGCGCCTGGAGGTCTGAGATGCGGAGAGGTCGGAGAAACTTCCCCCCGAGGCTCGCCGCCGAATCGGGGGGGACGCATCGACCCCCAATCGCCCAGTCATGGCCGACAGGGGCCTGGTAGCCCCAGAGTGCCCAGGAGCGCGCGAATTCACGATTGAGCGGGGGCCTACCGCCGATCTGTCGGCGAGGTGTCGCCGATTCCAGATCGATGTTTCCCCCATGCCTATCCCCCTCTTCGTGGCCCCTCAAAAAAGATCAAAGGCTGACGCTTTTCAACGTGTTCGGCCTCCGAGGGGCCCTCGCCGTGCCCCGAGACCGTCCAGAAACGACTAAGGATGAACAGCCGGTCCCCAAGGGCTCCCTCGAGGGCGCGAAGTTATTCGCGCTTCGCGCTTCGCGGTCCTCGTTCCTTCTCCCCCTCCTCCTCGTCCTCCTATTCTCCCTCTGGGAGGGCGGCGCGAGAGCGCGAAGTTATTCGCGCTTCGCGCTTCGCGCAGCGCGAAGCGCGAAGTTGGGAGCCCTAGGTCCCTGGGAGGTGGTCGGGGCGTCGCAGGCCTTAAGCCGGCTGGGGGTCTGACTCCGTAGCCATTTTGGCTCAAGGCGGGCCCAGCCGCCGCGGGTTCCGTGCGCAAGCGCCGCGCGGCACCTCTGGGCATGGGCGAGCCTCCGGGCAACAAGCACGCAGACCCCACGGAGCAGCCAGCGTCGCCCGCTGCATCGTCCTGCTACAGTTTGCAGTCGGACGTTTCGCCCGGACAGAGTCGTGTGGGGAGCGATGCCTCTCCGAGACGATTTGTCCGTCGTTTTAGTAACAAGTTTTTCGATCGCCAGTCATCGGTGCAGAGTGGACTATCATTTGATAGCCGGCCCACTGGACAAAGCTGGCGACAACGTCGCCATTCGCGCGGATCGAATGACGTTTTGGATGTGGTGGAGGAGGAGATGAGGTATGAGGTCACCATGCAGCAGAAAAGATTTTCCCACAGCCCGATAAACCCGCTGGCCGCGGAAGTCCTGCCGAAGCCGGAAGGGGTGAACCAGTATTGCTGCGGAAACAAGATCCGGATCGGCACGCGCCGTGCTATCAAGGTCAACATGAGAGTCAATGTGTTGGAAGTGTCATCGATCGATGCGGTTCGGGAGCAATTCACTGCCACATTCACTGTGCAGATGTTTTATGTCGATCCGATGTTGAAGAATTTTCGAACCGAAGCCTACTACTACTCTGACGGCGAAGTCAAGGTGGAAAAAAATTGCCAGGTGGTCGGGGCATGGAAATATTCAACGACTGGTAAAACGACAATCCTCTTGGAGAGTGGGCAGGAGATAGAGGTGGCGCCCACGCTCATACAGCACATCAGGCAGCCGGATTGGGACAGCGATGAGAAGTTGTTCAAGCCCGCGTTCACATTCGGAAACGCCACCACGAACGCGGAAGTCGTCGAGCACATACGCATGTTGGAGTATTGCAGCGCCGTTGGAGGTCATGTCTTCGAGAAGTACAAGTTCCAGGCCACGTTCACTGAAAGGCTCGAGCTGGCGGACATGCCCTTCGACAAGCAGATGCTGAGGATACGCATATACGGCGAGGAGCCGATCTGGCGCCAGCAGATGGCACCGCTCAAGGATGAGACGGCGGGATGGCTCACCGGTGACAACGCCACACCCTCGGAGTGGAAAGTGGACCGGGAGGTGCACGTAGAGGGATGCAAGGTGCCGGCCGTGCGGCTGATGGCGTGGAAGCTCGGCGACGACTCCTTCAGGTCCGTGCTCGAGGTCGTGGTCCACGTGAGGCGCGTGCCCACGTTCTACCTGTGGAACGTAGTGGTCATCAATTTCTCCATCAGCCTGATGACGGTGGCCTCCTACGCATCGGTCCCGGACGATTTCAACGCACGGTCGGAAATCCAGTTCTTGCTCTTGCTGACAACTGTCGGGTACAAACTGGTCACCTCGTCCTGGCTGCCTGTGAAGTCGTACCTGACCCTGATGGACTGGTACATCCTCATCAACTTCGCCCTCCAGGCGCTGGTCATCACTCAGACCTTCTTGTGTTTATTGTTGGCGTGCACGCTGGTCCCCGACACCGACAGCGACTGGCAGGACGGGCAGTACGACGGCGGCTACACGTTCCGGACCGCGCCAGACCGCGAGTGTTGGCCCGAGCTGGACACCTTCGAGCGGGTCTTCGCGACGGTGGTTTACGGGGCCTGGGTCATCTCGCACATGGTGTTCATGGTTGCGCACAAGTACGGGTGGACGGAGTGCTTCGTCTCATCGTGGACCAGAGTTTACGAAGACAACGGGATGATTGGACCAACAATAGCGGATTACGATCAGTTTCCGTACGGCGACATCGGCGACTCAGAGAAGTGATATTTGCTTGGGCAGCAAGATTTTCTGTCATCCTTTTCCGTCTTGCCCTCACCCTGCTCGCCCTCCTCGCCATAATTTCTCCGAACCCTTCCCCCACATCTGCGCTCGACGCACCGCCTCTTGCTTTCTAATCTGGGCCCCGGTCCACTGCAAGAGCTCGCCCAGGGCAGGCTGGTTCGTGCGGTGCTCCCGGCTGGCCTTGCGATTCTCAGTTTCGATGTCTCAGGTCCGTGTCACCCTTGTTGGACCCGGGTTTCTTCGCGGATACGCTGCCGTGCGCCCAAAGGCGTGTTTGCACCACGTCGCGATGGGCTGGGCGTGGGATGGGGAAACGCCCTCCCATGTGTGATTCGATGCCGCCGTCGCAGACCATGTCAGTGACAGCTTCAATCATATATTCGGTTGGGAGGTTGTTCGTCAGTGAATTCGTGAAGCAGGTTTGGGAAGCAAGAGTTTGCTTCTGCACGTGTCCGCCGACCTTCGCCATCGTAGCCGCCTTCGTCTGTATTTCCACAGCCGTCCGCGGGCTTACGCCGATGGCAAGACGCAATCTTCCCGATCCATCGAGGACGAGACCGCTATTCCCTCAGACGAGACCGCTTTTTAGACGCGTTCGAGGAGGGGCCGCAAGTTGACGGATGGTGCTCGATCCCGCAGGGAGTAGGTTTTTGCGCTTGGCGCGAAAGCATCTGGCGCTGATTCAAGGACGACAGGTTTGAACCATGTTGTCATGTTGTTCTTTGTGCAGCTGCTGTGGGTTCACGGCTTATGGTCGAGCTCATATGGGCGCTTGCGCATCAAAAAAAAAAAGTCGCCTGGGGGTCTGAGGTAGCCCAGCACCATGTGTCAAGTCCGGCACGTCCCTCTACAGGAGGACATTGCAAAAATTGTCAAAAATAGTCCGGGGACAAGCTTATGTGAATGTTCGGGTTATTTTTGAATGATTTCCGATTCTAAAAATTTTTCGTCCAAAATATCCGCCTGTAGGGGGACACGCCCTACCTAACATTGTTTCTGGCGAGCAAAGAGGGCGGGCGAGGTTCGAGATTCTGGGTTCGAGAAGGTGGTTTTCTTTTCTCGGCCTCCAGGGGCCGTTTTCGGGTCCCGGGACCGTCAAGAACGGATCCAGATGGAAACGCTGTACCAGGTGGACTCCTGGAGGGGTCTCGGGACAGATTCTCAGCGGATTTGCCTCCATCCCTCTTTCTTGACCGATTTTCTCTAGGTCTATCCAGCTCTCTGGAAGACAAGATAATGCGTCTAAATGTTTGGCACTCTCGCGCAGGGCAGGAGGTCCTATACATGTGTCACGTTTCAATCATTGGTACACGCGTCTGAACCTCAGCGGCGAAAAACAGTAATTATCATACATTGTGTTCTGCGCGTCGACGGTAGCAAGTTTGAACGAATATGAACACAGACACGTTCTCTTATATTCAGACACGATTTATGTTTCCATTGCAGGGAGGACGTATTGCTTCACAATTTCGACCGCGCACGCTGGAAGTTGTGGCGTTGATGCGAGCAGCGATGACGAGGGCGAGCGCAAAGTAGCATTAGAGGCGGCGATGACCAGGGGGAGAAAGGAGTCCTTGGAGCGGTGAAGAAGTAGGTGGAGAATGAGGGAAGACGGGGGGCAACTAGATCATGGGAGCGACTCTGCAATTATGGGGAAGGGCGGAGGGGGACAAGCAGGATGAGGCAGAAGGCCGAGGAGGACGCGCAGGTGCAGTAGCCGACAGGGCAGGAGGGCGTCGAGGAGGGCGGGGAGGAGGGGGGGGGAAGGGAAGGCCTGAAAAGAGCAATGCATTGATTGCGGAAGAAGGTGAAGGAGTAGGTGGGCGGCGCAGAGGGCGAAGAAGGGCGAAAGAGTAAGGTGGACAGGATGAGCATGATGACGACGATTATGAGCGGGGGATGGGGGTGAGCAGCAAAGAGAGGTGTGAGCCCACCAAAGCACCTTGATAGCAATCTGCGGCGATGGAATGACGAATCGATGATGATTCTTGTTCCCCCTCGATCCTCTTCCTCCTCCTCTTTCTACTCTCCCCCTCCTCCGCCTCGATTCATGATCCTAGATCCTCCTCGTCGGTCCTCCTCGATCCCCGATGCTTCTTCTCCTCCTCCTCGATGCTCCCCCTCCTCCTCCTCGACCCTCGATGCTCGATATTCCTCCTCGATCAAATCCCCGGTCGTCCTCGATCCTCACACCTCCCCCCTCGATCTCGACGCGCATTGTTCCGTCGAACGGCGACGTGCCAAAACACAGCCGCGGACAGGCACGGGGCCTGCACGAGAATGCGACAGGCACGCCAACATCTGAGTCCCGCCCGAATCGACGAAAGTGTGCCCCCGCTGCAGCGAGAGCGCGCCAGACGCGCCGCGCGTCTAAGTCATGTTGACGCTGTCTTCCAGGGTTCCGGGCCCCGGGCAGCCTCCAAACCGAGGCGCCCCCCCCTAGGATCATGGCATCTCGATGTGTTCGAGCCGGGCGTTTGTGCCCGGTTTCGGGCCTCGGGACCCTCACAGATCGATGTGGTTCGGGAAAAGCTGCGGACAGATGGGGTTTAGGGTTCTGGCTGTGTGTTGTTTGACGTAGCACCCCGCAAGTGCGGATAAGAGTAAAGGGGGAGGGGCGGAGTAGTCGGCAGTTTGCGAGGCTCTGAAGAAGCCCACCGCAGGCGCCGCTTTTTTAACACATTGCGCATCGAACCCGCAACAGGTGCCGAATGTTCGTCAAAGCAATGTGGGCCCTCACGCGCCATACTTCGAAAGGGGGGGGCGACATTCCCACATTCTGATCTCCTGCCCAAGGAGGTCCATCCAAAGCCTCTCCCGAGGCACGTTCCCACCTTCAGCTCGCACGATACATGAAACCATCAGTGCGACTTTGGGGAGCGGTGTTTTGGTCCAAACACGAGAGGTTCGAGCCCTGGGAGAAAGGTAATCTGCAGGAGCAGATGTGAAACAAGAGGTATTCGAGCCTTAGTCGCGGGGCGATCTATAGGAATATACGTAAACACGCAACGGAGTCGAGAACAAGCCGAGGGGCAATCGATAAGAACACACGTAAACCACACACAAAGGAGTCGAGCGCCAGCCGAGGGTGCGGCGAAGCCTATGAGGGCGAAGTTTGCGAGGGGCCGAGAAGCACGCCACGAAACCAGATGCCAATAATTACGGAATAGCGCCTCCTTGGAGCCTCCTTTGGGGCGGGGCCGAGAAGCACTCCCCGAAACCATATATATATATATATATATATATATATGTATATATATGTATATATATATATACATATATTGATATATAGATATGTGCAGAATAGCGCCTCATGGGCCTCCTTGGGGCCTCCTTTGGGGTGGGGCCGAAAAGCGCCCCCCGAAACCAGATCCCAATGTTGACGGCGCCTCCTGGGGGACCTCCTGGAGGCGGGGCCGAAAGCGCTCCCCGAACACGTACCCCCAATGCAGAATAGTGCGTATTTGGGCCTCCTGCGGGCGGGAGGGCCGAACAGCTCTCCCCGAACACATACCCCAATGCAGAATAGCATCTCCTAGGGCCCCTTGCGAACGGAGGGACCGAAAAGCGCTCCCCGAACACATCCCAAGACAGAAAAATTCCTTTGGGGCTTCCTTAGGGCCAGGGTCCGAAAAGCGCTCCCCGAACACAAATCCCTGGAGCGTCCTGGGGCCCCCCAGGGCCTCCGCAAGTAGCAGCAAGACTGCTCTGACGGATTCCCATGTGCTGCCGAAGTGCGAGGAAGTCTAAGGCGAAACGGCCGTTCCGGCATACGCAAGTAGGAGCAAGAACGTTTTGGAGGACCCTTATTTAATCGCTTCGCTCATTCCGCCGGCCCGTATTGGTGCACGGCTGTCGAGTGCCCGTGTGATCTTTGTCAATGGGGTGTTGCTGGGTCGTTTTTTTGTTTATGGATGGCTGGCTTTGGGTGATTTCGCAGGCGGGAAACATTCTTTGCCCGCCTGAACCTTCTGTTTCGGAAGGTGGCGGCTCGTGAATACGATCGCAGGGAACAAGACAACATTCTGCAGTTTTTCTCTGCATTATTCGGGCCCCTTGTCGCTGGTTGGGGCCTCTTAGGAGCCTCTTGGGGCGTCCAGGAGGCCTCTTGGAGCGGAAGGCTCGGATTCTCGGTTCGTGGTCTCCATCTTGGGCCTCTTTTGGGACCCTTTTGGGGTCCTTTTGGACCGTCTTGGGCGCCTCCTGGGCTGTCGTGGGGCTCTCTTGGACGGTCGTGGGCCTCTCTTGGAGACCTCTTGGGCCGTCTTGGGGTGGTCTTGGAAGCTTCTTGAGCCGTCTTGGAGCGTCGGAAAGGCGAAAAGGCGAGGAAGTCAAAAAACTTCAAAAACCCAACGGAAATCAATGGTTTTGGCGCTCTGAGGCTTCGTGGACGTTCATTGGGATCTCGTTGGATGCCTCTCGAGGGCTTCTTGGAGACTCCGGAGTCGTTGTCGAGCCTCTTGGGGTCTCTTTCGGGCCCCTTGTCGCCTTTTGGGGCCTTTTGGAGCCTCCAGGAGGCCTCTTGGAGCGGAAGGCTCGGGTTCTCGGTTCGTGGTCTCCATGTTGGGCCCCTCTTGGGGCTTTCTTGGGGTCCTTTTGGACCGTCTTGGGCGCCTCTTGGGCTGTCGTGGGGCCCTCTTGGGCGGTCTTGGGACTCTCTTGGAGGCCTCTTGGGCCGTCTTGGGGTGGTTTTGGAGGCTTCTTGGGCCGTCTTGGAGCGTCGGAAAGGCGAAAAGGCGAGGAAGCCAAAAACCTTGAAAAACCCAACGGAAATCAATGATTTTGGCTTTTTGGGCCCTCTTGGAAAGGGTCGGGGCTCTCTTGGGACGTCTTGGAAGCTTCTTGGGCCGTCTTGAGGCCGTGTTGGGCGTCTTGGGCCGATCGTTCGGCGATTCGGAACCCTCTTGGACCGTCTTGGAAGCCTGTTGGGGCCCTCTTGGCGCGCTCCGGGGAGCGTGGAAGGCCGCACCCAGGAGGAAAACCATCTCTGACCCGAGTCTGCCAGGAGTGTCCCGGGACCTTGCCGGGGTACTTTCCGGCCAGGGACCCCCAGGGGCCGCTCCGCGCGCGCGAAGTATAGAGGTATTGTTAACCAGTTACCGGAGATCTTAGCACGCCTCTGGCCCGTTGGGCCGGCGAATTACGGCGCTGAGTTGCGAACATGTATAAAGCGAACAAGCCGCTCCGGCACCCGCGAGTGGCAGCAACCTGGTGCTGAAGGACCTTTTGTGGTGTTGAATCGCGAGGAAGTCACACGCGACCCCTTGTGGTGCTAAATCGCGAGGAAGTCTCAGGCGAGAACGCACTTCCTGAGGTTTGGGCCCTCTCTGGCCAAGGCCTCTCGGAGTAAACTGTGCGGAACTATCGCGCGAGAGCGTTGTTGTTTGGGCGCAGCCCCGAAACCTTCGAGCGAGAGCTTCAATTTCAAAGGATATGCAGCCTTCGCCGAGGCGAGAGCGCCAAAGTGCCTCTAGGGGTCCAACAACGACAATTGTATAGCAATTCAATTCGCACCGCGGAACCCCACTTCAGCCACGCGCCCAGGGACAGTGAATGACCGTTCGGCCCCCTTATCCTTGACGATGTTCAATGTTTGTCGCGCCGTCGGATCTCAGACCTCGCGGGAACCCGTGCCCCTCGCGGTGTGCAAGAGGCACGACGGGCGGTGTTTGGCAGCGTTCCGCCTCCGAGGGCCTTCGCCCAGCCACGGGAACGTGAAAGTGCGACTCGGCATGAGAAGCTGTTTCCGGGGAAAAGGTCGGGACTTCCAGGGACCCCGCATGGAAGAAATCAAGACACCCATGTATGGGTGCTGCTGCCCTTCTTCGTTTTCCCCTGTCTGGGCCTCCTGGGAGGCCCTCGTCATCGCTGCGGCTGGATTCGCGTCGGAAATCTACGGTCGGTAAGTTTTGGAGAGTGTGTCGCTCCGCCATCTCTGGCCCACCGCGCTTCGGCGCGACACGTTGTCCACGTCCCAGTCCCCGGCCGTCAATGTCCCGAGCCTGCCAGAGACGCTCGCCCTCCAGTCCTGATGTTCTACGAGGTTGCAATTTCTCCCGCCGTCGCTTTTCGGGGTCGCGTCGTACGAAAAATACGACGAGAGGTTTCTGGCCATGTTCGGCCTACGGTGGCCCTCGCCCAGCCCCGGGACTGTCAACAAAACGATTCGGGATTGAAAATTGGCCCTGGGAAAGTAGTCGGGACTTCCAGGGGGGCCGTCATTGTTGAAGACATCCGGATTTCGCCTCTCTGGGTCTCTTGGGAGGCCCTCGTCACCACGGGTGGAGTCACCTCGGAGTTCGAACCTAGACATCCGATGTTCTGATTTTGTTCCATACACGGTCCTTGAAGATCTCGGCCCATACTCCAGCACTGGTCTTTCATCCTGAGTCGCTCTGTAGAACATTTAGAAACAATCCGTTTTGAACTTTTCAGTGCGTTTGAGTTTGGGGAGTCAGAACATGCCCCAGGAGGGGAGCAGCGGTCTCAGAAAGCCTTTTTGGATCCCCAGGAGAGCGCCGCAGCGACCGCGCCGAGCGCAGAGGTCGGGGCCGCCGGGAAGACCCCCAGGGCGTTGTTCTGTTGCGCTCGTTTGCAGCTCTTGCTCTCTGGCAAATTGCAGACGGAAGTACTGGGCCTCCCAGATGAGGTCCGAATAGATGGGGTCGAAGGATCGCTCCGCATCGCCGGTGCGTCGACGATGCGGATCGATGCGCAGCCAGAAATTCTCCACGCCGATGGCGCCGATGCATCGCTGACGTCGCCGATGCATTGGCGATGCTGCCCGATCTTCCGGCCTCATCGAACCTGACCCCATCCTGGATTGAAGTATAATTCGGTTCGACAGCTAAACAGAAACATCAATGTATGCAACTGCGTGTGACTTAGACACGAAGACTGAAAGGAGGCAGCTCAAAACATAATTGAAGACGTAATAACACATGCATGGGAAACGGCAGCACAATTTAAAAACAAACATGCTTGCGAAGTCTCAGAAGTTGCATCCAAACTACACCGAACACTGATGAGAACGTGAAAGCTCAAGACGAGGAGGGTAGGTACGTTGCCAAACATGCAAAACAAACGAACCACCCTGGCCGTTGTGAGAGACATCCAAGGTGGCCGGTGTTTCGGCAGCGCGAGGGAAAGTTGCAGGCAGGCGCCTTTCCTCGCGGTGGATGGTGCAGCAAAGCGGCAGGAATGCGTCAATTTCATGTATCGATCAGGGTCCAATCGTACGGTGGGGGCATTGTTGGAGGAATGTGCCCAGGAGGCTTCAGACCTCGGAGGATTCCTTAGCTGATGAGGGCGTTGGCGATACCCTTGACCGATACCCAAATGGAGTTCCACTGGCTTCCAGACCCCGGATTCCTTATCCCAGGATTCTCTGTTCAATACCTCCGCCGTCTTGAGTATCCAAGGGTGTCCGCGGTTCGGTCGGTTCGGTTGCACCTCAAGTCGTTGCGGTCGATCGATTCGGTTCAGTTCGTCGTCGTGTCGTTGCTGCGCCGCTGCGCCCTTTCTGGGCTGCCTGCGGCCTGTCGGCTGCGGTCGGCTGCGGTTTCGCTGTCAGTTCGGTCGGCTCTGGGCTGTGCTGCCGCCGTGAACCCAAACCCCCGCCGTCATGATTTTTCCACAACGTCGACCCCCAGAGGTCTCGACCCGTTCCCCGGGGCAGGCCCAAACCCCCGCCGTCATGATTTTTCCACAACGTCGACCCCCAGAGGTCTCGACCCGTTCCCCGGGGCCGGCTTCTCGCCCTGAGTCGTTTCTTCACGGTCCCAAGGTCCGGCGAGGGCCCCCAGAGGCCGGAAGCAGCGAGAATCTTCCTGTCGTGATTCTCATGGCCTGAGGGGGTCTGGGGATTGTGCTGCCGCCGTGAGGATGGGGGGGTCCTCCTCCTCCTCCTCATCATCATCCTCCTCCTCCTCCTCCTCCTCCTCCTCCTCCTCCTCCTCCTCCTCCTCCTCCTCCTCCTCCTCCTCCCCCTCCTCCTCCTCCCCCTCCTCCTCCTCCTCCCTCTCTTACCCATCCGTGAACGGCCTCCGTGCCCCTCAGGGTGCCGCCGACGAGGGCGAGGAGGCACCGTGGCTGGCGCCGCCCGCCGCCGCCCGACCTGACGAGTGCGTCCTGCGAGTGGCCCCGGACGCGGCGCCGGCCCCCCCGCCCTGCCACCGGTCCCTACGCTGCTGCCGCAGGCGCTCGGCCACGCGCAGAGCTGAACCCTGAGATCCGACGGCGCGAACCCAGACACCGGGCGTCTCGAAAAAAATCGAGACGGAGGCTCTGCATCGTTTTCGGCCTCTCGGGGCCCTCGCCGGGCCACGGGACCGTTAAAAGACGACTCGGGACGAAAAACCCGCCCTGGGGAAGTGGTCGGGAGGTCGGGGGCCCGTGTCTTGAAAGAGTTGGAGCCGCCGGATGTCTCGGAACACATCGAAACATCGTAGACAAGCACGATCGGGGCCGTTGCCCCCCTCTGTCTGCGCCATTTTCCTTCCTGGATCGATCCGTGAGGGCCCTGGGGCTCGGAACCGTGCGAAAACCCCGACTCGAAAGAATCGTGAAGCCAAGATCTCCTGGGCAGGGGGAGGGGGGGAGGCTTCTCAGAAGCACCCTGCTTCTCAGACGGCGCGGGCCTTGTCCAGAGGGCGCCTTCTAAGAAGCAGCCTCCTACAAGAAGCCTTCCCCCTCCACCCCCTTTGGTGCGCGCCGCCACCAGGCGCAGCTCCAGCGCCGTCGTGGCAGCGCCTGGCTCGCCCGTGGCAGCGCGGCTCCAGGTCGAATGCTGCGAAAGGTTGCCCTGGTCCGAGGTTCAGAGGAGGAAGCCCAGACAGACATCGGCTCGAAAAAATCGTGACGGGTTTTCGTAGGTTTCGGCCTCTGAGGGCCCTCACCGGGCCTCGGGACCGTCAAGAAACTATTCGGGATGAAAAACTGGTCTTGCGGAAGTGGTCGGGAGTTCGGGGGCCCGTGTCTTGAAAAAACCGAGACGTCGGATGTTTGGTGGTGCCGAGATGCCACTACCCTTGCCTCGTTCTTGCCGCAGTGGACCTCGCGGAGGCCCTCGTCGCCACGGCTGGATTCTCCTCGAGGCCAGAACGCACCCCGGGAGCTTAGCTACCTCGATACGCCGGTTTTGATACGCAACGCGTGCCGTGTTCAAGACGTCCGTGTCAATACGTTGCGTGTTGGCTCCACGTATTCGCCCACGTTTCGGCGAACGTATCGCGTCGGACCTACGTTTTCAGTCCACGTGCTGAGTTCCGTACCAATACGCTTCGTGTCGCGTGTTGCGTAGCGGGGCAGCTAAGCCCGGGAGAGGTCGGGAGAGCAATGGCATCGGCACCTTCTTCCGCCTCCCCTGAGACTCGGGGGTGGACAGAACCCCCCAACAGTGACACGTCGATTAGTGAATTGTCCGTTTTCGGTTCTCGAGAGGGCGCCGTGGCCGTTATTTTCCAGGCTTGCGCCCGCCAGGTTTGGGCCTCAGGTCGTTTTCACTAAACCACGTTTTACTAAAGGGGGGTCTGTCCATCTCCGAGAGACGGCCCCGGCCTTCCCTGGGAGGTGCGGGGTGGGCTCGAGAGCACCCCTTGCTCACCGAGCGCGCTCCACTGCTCGAAGAGCACATACGTAGCCACCGTTCGAAAAACACATGCTGGCTTCGATGCCATGGATCATACATTCGTAACAGGCTGAGGGGGCGCGAACGGTCCTTATATATCCAAATATCCCAAGTTCGGAAAAGTGTGAGGCCAATGTTTTAACAAACGTTCCAGTGCAACATTGCTGGAATCCTGAAGTCCGGAAAAAGGTTAGGAACAAGTTCGGCGGCGAGAGACAAGTTCGGCAGCGGTGAGGGAGAAGTCTGAAACAAGTTCAAAAGTTCAACAAACAAGTTCGAAACATTGAAGTTCACAAAAAAAAAAAATGTTGAGGGAAGTGTGGGTTCAGTTTGGGAAAAGTCGTCGTTGTGCCAGGAGGCCGTCTTGAATGTATTTCGAACTTTGGTGTCTTGGGGGTTTTGAACTCGAGCTTTTGATTTCCCCTCTGCCCGAACCCAAACCCGAACATGAATCATTTCTCAGGAAAGACCATCTCTCCCCCATCAGTCGGTTACAATCGTAAATCCACCGCGGCGGATCCAGGCCATTTGCTAGGCATCGCTCGGACGTGTGCGTTGTTCCTGGGCGAGGGCCATCGAGGAGCGTCTTGGATCACTTTGCCAAAACAGCACGCACGATATCGAAACAAATGCACGGGGGGAATGGACGTCCGAACGATGGCGAGTTTGCGGGCAGTTACTTTGCGAGCCGTGGAACGCGCTTGTCTACAGTGGAACCCCATGCCAAGACACACCCTGCTTGCCTTCAGGGTGCCCTGGGTTTCTCGGGCTTCCATGGTTCTGCTACGGACGGCGAGACGTTCCCACACCACAAATCAATGGACGTCTTGGGGTCTAAGGGTTGGGTTTCTTGCGGAAGGTCCCAGACATCCGACGTCTCGATTCTTTCGGGACACGGGCCCCTGAACTCCTGACCACTTCCCCGGGACCGGTTTTTCATCCTGAGTCGTTTTTTGACGGTCCCGAGGCCCCGCGAGGGCCCTGAGAGGCCGAAATTTACGAAAAAGCTCCTTGGAGGCTTGAGAGACGCCCGATGCCTGGGGCTTCTTGTGGTCGAGCTTCTGCTGTAATTATTCCTTCGAGGCCCGAGAGGCCGCGAGGCCCAGGAGTGGCACCGAGAGGCGGGGGGCACGGCGGGCCGGGGGCACCGCCCCTGTAAGGCGCCCGCCGAGCTGCGACTTCTGGCCAGCCGCGGCCCTGGAGGCCCCGGCCGCTTCCTCAGAGACCGGGGGCGGCCAGGGGGTGATGATTAGGGGGGCCCAGACATCGGGCGTCTCGAAAAAATCGTGACGGAGGTTTTTCGTAGGTTTCGGCCTCTCAGGGCCCTCACCGGGCCTCGGGACCGTCAAAAAACGACTCGGGATGAAAAACTGGTCCTGGGGAAGTGGTCGGGAGGTCGGTGGCCTGTGTTTTGAAAAATCGAGACGTCGGATGTTTGGGGGGTTGGACGACATGGCGTGGGCCATGATGTTTCCCCAGGTTTCGTGGCGCCTTCTTTTTCTTCTTATAGCATTGCGTCCTTGGCCGCGCGCATGCCGCCGGCCATGATTTGCGCCTCCCCTCTTGGAGGCCCCCCTCTTGGCCGCCCCCGGAGAGATCCGACGCTCCAGGCAAAACTTGGAGCGGGCGGTTTTCGGCGGATTTCGGCCTCCGGGGGCCCCCGCCGAGCCCCGGGAGCGTCACGGAACGCCTCGGGGCGAGGAGCCAGGCCTCGGGGGGCGGTCCAGACCTCTTGGGGCCCACGCGCCGGAACGAGTGGAGCGGCTGGACGTCCGGGATCTCAGACCTCGGTTCGACTGCATGGGGATCCGAGATATACCTGCTTTCAAAAAGCGATGGGTGCCGGCCGCCATCGCCCCAGGGCAGGGCAACGGGTTCCAAGAGGGCGTCGGGCCGACGTCCGCGGACGGACGAGAAACGGCGGCTTCCGAGAGGGCGTCAGGCCGACGCCCGCCGACGAGCGAGGAGGCGGAGTGGGCGCAGCCTCTGGACCCTGAGATGAACCCTCAGATCTTGACATCTCATCGGCAACACCCCAACATACTTATACTATATGTGCGTCGCCCCCCCAGGGGCGACGCGCGCACCGAGAAATCTTATAGTATATGCGTCGTGGCGTGCGCTTTCTGGCCACACCGCTCGGGAAACCATATACTACAAGATGGGTATACTACATGTTCGGGTCGGACGCGCGCCTCCAAGGAGGACATGTAGTATTAGTATGTCCATGTGCGTCCCATCTCAGTTGTTTTCGAGCCGGGCTTTTTGCCCGGTTCCGCGCCCCAGGGCCCTCGCAGATCGATCCCGCTCAGGAAATTGCATAAGAAGATGGGTTCCACGGCCCCGCGCCGATGGTTCAATTTTTTCGCGCCGTCGGATCTCAGGGATTCGGAGGGTGAAGAAAGGTGCGCCTTTTGTGCCCTGCCGGGGCCCTGCAGGGCCCCGCTGGAGCCCCAAAGGAGTACGAGAGGTGCACAATTCCCTCCCCCTCATTTATCGCTCCCCATAAATTCATGCCCGACCCGGGGGCGGTTTTTCTGTTCCCACGATCCATTTTTGATGTCCCCGCGGCTCGATAATGCATCTATGGGCCAGAGACCAGGATCGAGCAACAATTGGCGGGTCGGGGTAGGCTTCCGTCCATGATCTATTGCTGATGGCCCCTTGGCCCGATCATCCGCCCCGGAGGCCGAAATCGAGGAAGAGCTTTCGGGTAATCAGGTCGTCAGAGACCTGGCATCTACAGCCGAAATGGACGATGAGGATGCGTAGCCTTCCCTAGGGAACGCTTGCGCCTTTGCCTCTTCGGCCCGCCCTTGACCACTTTGGGTGGCCGGCCCCGCTCGAAACGCCGCGACAATGTGTCCAGGAGGCGTCAGACCCTGGAGGATTCCTTATTTGATGAGGGTGGCGGTGATATCCATGGCCGAGCCTCACTTGGAGTTCCACTGGCCTCCAGACCCTGGATTCCTTCTCTGAGGGTTCCTTGCCCAATGCCCCCACCGTATGAGTTTTGACTGCAGCAGCACCCAGGGCGCGGTGGCACCCGCCGCCATCGGCGCGGGGCGCTCTCCGGCCGCGGCGGGCGGCCCTGGAGCGGCGCGGGCGGGGGAGGAGGGCCCCGCGGCAGAGGCCCTGGGCCTCCCTGAGGGGGCCCGTGCAGATAGGGTCCAAGGATCGCGCAGCATCGACGATGCACCAGCGATGCGGCTCGATGCGGAGCCCGATTTTCGCCATGCCGACGGCTGCGATGCATCGCCGATGCGGCGCCGATGCGTCGCCGATGCTTCGGCGATGCGGCAGCGATGCGGCGCGATCCTCCGACACCCCATCTGCTCGGACCCAATGTGGGAGGCCTCCAGAGGCACCTTCCAGCCCACTGCCGGCGGCCTCCAGGGACCTCGTCATCCAGTACGCCGCCGCGCGGCAGCACCCGGACTTCGGCAAGCCGAAGTTGGTGTTGCGGGTTCAGGACACTGGGGGCCAGCCAGTCTTCGTGCAGCTGGTCGAGCGCCTTATGTCCTCCGCCGCCACGGTGTACATGGTGGTCTTCTCCATCCCAAAGTTGCTCAAGGCGTTTCCCGTGCACGTCAAGAGAGTGACCGACCACCTCTTGGCGATAGCGGCGTTCGCCGAGAACGCCCCAGTGCTGTTGGTCGGGACGCGGAAGGGCGACGTCTCTGCGGCCGAGCTGCGGAGCGTGAGCGACCAGCTGCATGCACACATCGAGCAGCGCTGCCCGCCTTCCGTCGTCCGCATGGCGCTCAGCGGGGGGGGCGCCGGCGGGACCTGCTTCTTCGCTGTGGAGAACTCCAAGGGTTACGTGGGCGACGAGTCTATCTCGAAGAGCAAAAAGCGGCACAATCATAAACTTTCGACGGTCCGCGCGGATTCCCAGGATCGGCGCTGAATCCCCCTGGCGGCGCCCCCCGCGCCGCCACCGGCGCGCTCCGCGTGCCAGGGAGGGGGGCCCAGCGCCGATCCACGAGATCCGCGTGGAGCGTCGACAGATTATTGTGATGTCGTTTCTTCTTCCTCTGCTATCCGCGAGCTGGTCCAGGCTCTGGAGCGGGCCGCCGCAAGGCTTCCCTCGATGAGGCAGCGGGTGCCGCTGGCGTGGCTGCAGGTCTACGACGCGCTGCGGCGCTTGTCGAGTCGCCAGCGCCACGCCTCCCTTGGAAAGGTCCGGGAGCTGGCGGAGGCCCACGGTATGCCCCATTCAGGGCTCACCTTGGAGCAGGAGGTCGCCTCGATGCTCCAGTTCCTCCACTCGCTGAACGCCGTCCTGTGGTGGGGGGGCGTCCCGGACCTGAAAGACCTCGTCATCCTCGATCCGCAGTGGATGATCGACGCAGCCTCCTGCTTTATCCGCGACTTTGGGCTTCGCGACCACACCGAGGTCAGGAGGGAAACATCGGCACAAACACAAATACACGTGGAGCTTCAGGAAATATGGAAAAATGTGGGAACAGGAGGGGAAGGGGAAGATCCAGGAGATAAAGACAAATATGGCAATTTCTCGAAGCTGTGTCGATTCATGTGTGTGTGTGCTTGTGTGTGTGTGCTGTGTGTGTGTGTGTGTGTGTGTGTGTGTGTGTGTGTGTGTGTGTCTGTGTCTGTGTCTGTGTCTGTGTCTGTGTCTGTGTCTGTGTCTGTGTCTGTGTCTGTGTCTGTGTCTGTGTCTGTGTCTGTGTCTGTGTCTGTGTCTGTGTCTGTGTCTGTGTCTGTGCTTGTGTGTGTGTGTCCCACTGGGCCCCTTGTACGAGGGTTCAGGTGTTCGATCATGGGCCCCTATTTAACCGAAACCATCCAGCTTTCTCGCCGAAAGCCGCAGGAAGCCGCAGAAGACCGCCGGAAACCGACGACGACCGCCGAAGGCCGTCAGAAGACCGCCGGGGACCGCCAGAAACCGCCAGAAAATCGCCGATGACCTGCGAAAACCGCCCGAGGCAGATGGGTAACAAGGGGTCCATGGTTCGACCACACGTAAGAGTGGCCCTTCACCGGAGTGACCTGTGGTGCGGGCTCACTGGCCCAACCCGAAATCGCTGAGCGCGATGCGATAGTAGCGTCTTGCGCGCCTCTGCTTGGCCTCCCCGCGGCCCCAAAAAAACGGCGCATCACAGGTCACTCATACCCGTCGGTCGTTGGACATGGGTTTATGGAGATTCCCAGCATCCTATCTCCTTGGGACGCCTCCCAACTTCAAGGATCGAGTGGTGTTCCTTTCACCTTCGTCTTCAGGGGGTGGGCGGAAGCTCAGTCTACTTCCAACGCCTTCTTACTTCATGCTTTTACCCACCTCTTCCGACCGACGTGTACGGTAGGTTCATGCGGCGACGCCGCGCCGGCGACGCCGGCGAAGGCGTTCAAGGTTGAGATCTGCGACGCGGAAGCACCGAAGGACGCGGTAACGCCATTGGACCCGACGGAATTCAACCTTGAACGATCGGGGACCCGATCGATTCAAGGTTGAATGATCGACGCGGTGTCAAAAACCTTTGCGCGCGCCAGCGCCGCGCAAACCTGCCGTACCCAGGGCCACTCCTGCGTGTAGCCCAGTGGTCGAAAACGCAGCGAGGGCTGGGAGCAGATGCGGCCCTTCGACGAGAGGGCCCGGCGCGAGGAGCCCGAGGCGTGGAAGGAGCTCGCGGGCCAAGGCCCTCCTGTCGCTTCTCCTCCTCCTCCTCCTCCTCCTCCTCCTCCTCCTCCTCCTCCACAATTACTCAATATGAAAATACTCTCCCTCTTCCCCTGATGGCGTCCGGGTGATGGCCGCGCACCCTCCGCGTACTGTTTTTTTGCACAGGATTCCCGGGAAATCCCGGGAAACGACTCTCGCTGAGGCGCCGGCGTCATTTTTTCCCAAAATGCTGCTCTCGTTGAGGCGCCGGCCTCATTTCTGCTCCCGAATCGTTCCGAATCGTGCTCCCGCTGCAGCGTGGGCCTCATTTTCGGATCGGTGTTTGGCCTCCGTCGTTCAGGATGGCGTTCTCGCCCCAGCGCGGGCCTTTTTCTCGCGCGCCCATCCGCCCGCCACCACCGCGCCGCACCGCCACCACCACCACCACCACCACCACCACCACCACCACCACAACCACCACCAGCACCAGCACCAGTACCAACACCACCACCAGCACCACCCACCACCACCAGCACCCACCACCACCACCACCATCACCACCACCACCACCACCACTACCACCACCACCGCCACCACCACGACAGACATGCACACACGCACGCACGCACGCACGTGCACCACCACCCACTACGCACGCGCGCGCGGAGCCACAGGTCCGCTACGACACGCGTCCGCGGATAGAGAAAATCAGCGCCATGGTAAGGGATGGGAGGGAGGGGTAGGACGTCAGATATGACGCGAGCGCACTTAGCTTGTCCCCTCCCCCTCCTCCCTCTCCTCCTCCCCCTCCTCCTCCTCCGCCTCCCCCTCCTCCTCCGTAGCCATTTTGGCTCAAGTTCAAAGCGTGCGACACTGGCGCTTCGAACTTGGACGCTGCCGAGGGGTGGTCCAAACGTCCCTTCTGAGGTTAGGCCTCACATCCTAATCGTGCGCCAAGGCACGCGTCATGTCGGCATTTTGCCCGTTCCGCTTCATCGCACCTCTGAGCTGTCCTTCCGGGGCCCGTTTCTGCGATGGGTCGACGTGTTCAAAGAAGACAGCTTTCGCCTTCCCAAGAACGTTCCAGCCAGCTCTTTTGTTCAACGTCGGAGCCGAGGAGAACGCGTCGTGGGCATGGGAGACGCGATAAACGTGACGGCTCGAGTGTTCGTGAAATATTTTCGGGCAGTGGAGACCGCAGCCGCTCCAATGCCGATGATGAGGAGAGGGATGACTCGCATGATTGCTCCACGTCGTTCATCGACGACACCAAGCTGAACTACGCGCGCATTGCCCAGCATGTCGCCCCTGCCTTGACGTCTGTTCTCAATGAGACATGTCCGCCGTCTCGTCCTCCCTCGGAGTTCAGATGGCAGCACAGATCCAGACTTCTCAGTCAAACATCACGCAGGAGTCTGTCAAGTACAAACCTGATGGTGGCGCGAGGTTGGCCGCCATCGAGACCAAGCTCGAGCCGATATAAACGTTACCTTGCGATGGTGTTTCCCATTCTGTTGCCGATTCCGATGGAGCACTTCGTCAGAAACCCTGGGCTGCTCTCGGTGCCACCAGCAGGAGTGCCCAGCTTGAGAAGGAGGCCGAGAGCCTCGCAAAACAAATCGAGCGTATCAAGAAAGACTCATGCGGCTCGGAAGCGAGCTCTGCAAGTTCAGGGGGCTCCTCCGCTGGCCCTTCACCCGGTGCCGTGCCCATCAATGAGACTAAGAGGTTGGTTGGCACGTCCCCGAGATGCATCACGGGTACGCAGAAGGCCGCTCACTGGGAGCTGGTCCTGTGCCCGATGGTCCTTGAGCAGCTTCGACGCGATGTTCTGCCGCAGCTGGCGGGAGTCTCGAAGAGGCCTGGTCTTCAGTAGCGCAGCCTCTGCTCGTGCTTTCTCCGGGCTCATGAGCGACAAGCAAGTGAGCTGGCAGGACCCCTGGGCTTCTTCAGTGTTCCCGCCCTTCGCATTCGCCAAGGCCTTCCTGCCGATGCGAAAGCAAAGCAGAGGGCTGCCAGTCGTGTTTGGGAGGAGACCCTCAACCTATTCAAAAAGTATGGCTGCCAGATTTCGAACTACCGCCTCGGGGATTCCAGAGGCTCATCCACCTGACGTCCCGAGAGGACACTTTCGAGCTCTTTTGGACCAAGGGGAACGAAGTTGCTGGGTTCACGTCCGAGCCCGCGCATTCGTGCTTCGCCTGGTGGAACATCCCCGAAAAGGGAAGTCACGCAGCTGATTGGTCGCGTGACGGAGTTCCAATGATAATGTCCTGCGCGAGAATGCCCCCGCGCTCGGGCCGGCCGCCCTTGTCAGATAGTTTGGGGTGCAGATGCTGGTCTACATGCTCCTTCTCCAGGGGCTGCCAGGCCGTCGCAGCGAGCTGGCAGCCAGCGCCTGGCCGTTCAATATTATTATGATTTGCCACCCCGCTCGTCCTCGTCCTCCTCGCCCCCCCCCTCCTCCGGCGACGGGCCCCCAGACTCGTCTGCCCCGCCCGCCCCCCCTCGCTGATTCCCTTCATCTCCCCTGTTCGAGCGGCTCGAAGACTGCATCGTGGAATGCGCGCGCTCCTTTTGATTCAATTTGAATTTGCCCGGATCTGCAAGCTGCTACCTGGGCGAAGCTGAAGGCCATGTCGCGGAGATGCGACGCCATCATCCTGCGCGGAACGCACGGCGAGCCCGAAAATTTGACTGAGCTGCGAAAGCTGAACCCTTCCTGGGAATTCGCTGGCTCAGTCCTCGGGACTGCCAACGTGGGGGGCATCTTATTCACGGCGCATGAGAGGCTGGCGGCGCGATTCAACAAGCCCAGGTCAGCTCGAGTCTCATTGGGGGGATTGGGGCCCTGCGCACGCGCGGGGGGGGGGGGGGCCTGGACGTCGTGAACGCGCATATTGATCCGAGCTGGTCGTTCTACCATGCCCGCAGAGTGCTGCGAGCTGTCCAGCGTCGCCTGCGTCGCAGCTCAGTCGCCACCTCCCTTCTCGGGGGCGACTTCAACTTCCCCACGACGGGCGAAGGGAGATTGCGCCTCACCGAAGGCCTCTTGGAAATGGGCCCCAACTCTTATGGCGAGTATTTCGACGAGGCATTCCCAGGCATTTCAGAGTTTCACCAACCTGATTACACCCGCAAATCCGTTCATCACCAGGAAGGTTTCTCTCTTGGTCGGCTCGATCGAATTTATATGTCAACCCCCGCCTCCGACGTCCTCGACCGCAGCCCTCTTGCTGGCCTCGCGCGGGACCTTCTCGGCCCGAGGTCTTCCAGTGACCATATCTGCGTTTTCGCCCCCCTCACCTCCGCCCCAAGGCCCTCGCGCCCCAGCGCCCCGAGGCGGGCCCCGAGCCACCCCTAGCTCGGCATTGCCCCCTACTCTTTCTGCCTTGAGGGGCGCCTGTCCTGATGCGCCTGCTACGAGGGTGGATGATGCGAAGGAGGTTATCCCTGAGGCTGCCACGGGCGCAGAACAAGCAACGGAGCTCCTCGGCCCAAACACCGCCCTGTAGAAGATTGCATGGACGCTGGCGCGTCTCCGTGCCCACCGTGACGAGCGCTGCGAGATTGTTGTTCGCACCCTTCGCGCGTGGCCAGTGTTGTGCGACTTGCGCGACCACCTGGTCTTTCAGCGGGTGGCGCTCATTCTCTCCTCTCAAACCTCCCGAGGGAAGTTCGCAGCGGGGATGCACAGGAATTGCAGAGTGCCCCTGACTTCTCCGCCCCCCAGAGGGCCAATGGCGCAGCGCGCGTTCGTGAGCTCGCGGCTGCGCGGCGGCCAAGTCACAGGCGCATCTACCTTCGAGGGCGGATTGACGACTATGGAGGGACGGACACGGAGCCGTCGGATTTCGCCGGGGAGCTCGCAGTATATTGGGGCGAGGTATTTAAGTTCCAGCCATCATTGGAGGGCGGCTTCCAGTTCCTGGACCCGTTTATCCGGCCCATTCCGACGGGGGCCCAGCGGGTCTGAAGGCGCGAGCAATTCGAGCAGGTGGACTTGCAAAGAAAAATATAGCGGCCTTGGGGCCGATGGTATTCCTGATTCGGTTTGGAAGACTGGAGGAGGCATGGCCATCGATGCCATGTGCCTGCTGTATCTATCTGGGCTTGGGCATGGATGGTTCCCTCCGCCTCCAAGCGCCCCCCTGTTGCTTTCCTGCCGATGGGCGAGATCGCAATCTCTGGTCCAGGTCAGGTCAAGCCTCCGTTCTCTACTCGACCGCTCACCCTCTCGAACGCGGATAACAAGCTGTTGGCTAGCGGCCAGCGCCAACTCCCTCCCCTCGGGTACGTCGCGTCCGAGGTCGCCCGTCTCTCGCAAGCGGGCCCCCCCCTGGGCGCCAGATTGTTGATCGCGCTATTTCGTCGGGTTCTGGACTGCGCGCGCAGAGAGACCTCGAAGGGCGCGCCCGCGTTGGAGGCGCGCCATGCTATGTCAAGGATGCCCCCCCCCCCCCCCCCCGCGCTCTCACGCGCCTTCCTCTTCGACGTCCTCCGGGAGATACAGGCGCCCGGGCTGTTTCACTCATGCTTTTGAGTTGCCGCACGACGCTGCGCGCGTCTATATCGCCTGAAACAAACCCGCCCTCTGATCGGCCTTCCGCGCGCGCTTGCTACAGGCCCTCTGACTCGATACTTATAGTCGGATTCCTCGGTCGCCGTCTTCATCGTCATATGCCTTCGCTGACGACCTTGGACTCGCCCCCCAGAACATCTTCGCCACGATAGTTCCCCCCGCCCTCTTCTGGTTTGGCGAGCTCGCTGGTCTGCGCATCCACCCGGGTGAAACAGTGATCTTGCTGCCCGTGGGCATGGGCGCGCGGACAGCGCTCGCCCTGTTCTCTGAGCATAGGCTCGACGCCCATGGATCCAAGCAAGCCAAATGAGGGAAGTCCTTGGGCTTCGTTGTCGGGGCGAGCGGGGGGGAGAAGTCCCGGGCTGACCCCAGGCAAAAGGTTCCTGCTCGAGCTCGTCAGATTCGCACCATGGGGCATTGTTTCGGGCTGAATGTGCCC